TTTGCATGCCTCTCTCTCTCTTCTCTCTCTCTCTCTCTCTCTCTCTCTCCTTCCGTCTGTTTGCGCTGAAAGAATTCTTTGATGGAATTCACGAGTGAAAGGGTGGATGTGAGAATATACGTAAAGATTCATGTGTGAAGATGTTCGTGTGCGAACCAGAAGGAAGTAAAAAAAAAAAAAAAAAAAGAAAAAGAAAAAAAATAGAAAAAAAAAAAAACAACCAAATATAAAAAAACAATATCTTGACGTGGTCCACAGTAGTTTGCAGAATATAAAAATTATTATTTTTATTTTTTCACACCGACCAAACATACGATTCGTTTTCATATATGATAGAGTAAATGGCAAGGATCCTTTGGACAATCTTTAATAGTTTTTTAATTCTTTTTTTACATCATATTTCGTACTTATAAAAAGTATCAAGAAAAACGATAAAAGTGAAAATAAATAAATAAATAAAGATTGTCCAATGATTCTATACTGGCCAGCAAGATTGCTACTTTTATCTATTTGCATCGAGTACTATTACTGCTGCGATAAGTATATAGATAAGTGTATATATATACACATATGTATATGCAATGACATTTTACACGATATAATAGTACCATTTACTGTAATTTAATAGAATACGATGGCAGCGATAATCTCATCAGCTTTACAGAGAAGGGAAGAAAAAAATTACATTAGATAGAATCCTGTATCTCAAAAGGCTGGGGGGGGGGGGAAGGAACAAACGACTGTGTTATTTTTTATGTATAACTTTTTCTTATCAAGAATATCTTTTTCATTATTGATGATTATATGTAACTTAAATAATTTTTAACAATAATCCAGACAACACGGTCAAAAAATAAGCCTATACACTCTATGTATCAGGATTCGCTGTATTATTTTAAATGATAATTTTTTTTTTAATACAACAGAAAGTACTGAATCATCTAACTGCCCTAAACGAAAAGAAAAAAAAAAAAAAAAAAAGAAAAAAAAAGAAAAAAAAGAAAATATGAAAAATGGAAAAAGTAAAAAATAACGCTGATCATGATTATTGGTGAACAATTTGTGAAGATAAAAGATTATAATAACTTTTGCAACGATTCGCCAACGATGTACTATTTTTTATAATAGTTTTGTTTGAATTTTTAGATGATCTGAAATAATGTTAGAGTTATTTTAAAAAAAGAAAAGATGATATATCAATTGACTTTTCATGCATTGAAATTTTTTGTTTTAACTTATATCTATTTATTATATTGAATGATATTTAAAAAGAAAATTTTTTAATTTTTTAACATTAAAATCAACCATCTCTTTTATTTTTTAACGACTATCTTTTTAATTGTGATTAGCGAAATAGATGGTGCAAAGATATTTGATTTTTTCCATTGCGTGAATTTTCAGAAAAAAGTAAAGCATCAGTATATTTTAAATAACAGAATAATTTGTAATGAATCGAACTTCTCTCAATATTTATAATTTATTGTAAGAGATATATACTAGAGTTATTTGTTAAATTAAAGAGAAATGAATTTTTGAATAATTAATGATTGTGATTTGAGTAAGGAAATTTTTTTATAATAATGTCTTAAGATACTATTTGATATTTTATCTAGAAGGAAGAAAAGATATGAAAAAACAAATGAAAGAACAAATAAAATTAAAAAGAAGAAAGGCTTGAAAGAAAGCAAGGTGCAGAATGAAATGCATATCTCTCCAAAACAGTTGGAACAATTTTTACGTAGTTCGATTCTGTTAGAATTTGATACTAGCTCTGTATATCAATATATCTATATTCGATAAAAAAAAGATCACTATTAACGAAAAAATTACAGACGAGGGAGAGCTATATATATTATATATATAAATATAAATAAATGAATAAATGATTAAGTAGATAAAATAAGTCGATTCATTCTTCGAGTCGTTATATCGGTACGAAGAAGTGTAAGAATTTATAAGAATTATAATTATATTATTATTATTATTATTATTATAATTATTATTATTATTATTAATTTTTAATATTATTTTTATTTTAATTCTTATTCTTTTTTTTTATTATTATTCCTATTATTTTTCTTTTCCTTACATTTGTTCTTATTTTTATTTTTAATCTCTTAATCTTAGTCCTACTCTTTATTCTTTTACCTTGCTCTTGCTTTTCCCCTTCTCTTTCCTCTTTTACTCTTGCTCTTGCTCTTGCTCTATTTTTTTCTTATTCTCACTTTCACTCTCACTCTCACTGCCATTTTTATTCTCACTCTTATTCTCATGTTTACTCCCACTTTTACTCTTATTATTATTTTTATTCTTACACTTACACTTATTCTTGTTCTTATTAAAATTATTATTACTATTACTACTACTATTACTATTACTGCTACTGGTACTATTACTGCTATTATTCCTCCTCCTACTATTACTACTATAACTAATACTACTACTGCCGTATCAAGTCTCAGTCCAAGAGTACACCGAAAAATGTAATTTCAATCTTGAGAATATGTATTATTATTCTCTTTGTATTAACTGAGAGAACTGGGAGAATGAAAAAAGAAGCGGAGAAGAAGAAAAGAAAAAGAAGAAAAAAGATCGTTAAAGAATATGATTGCATATTTTGAGACATCTTTTGATCACGTATAATAATTATAAATATATATATATATATAGACATGCTGGTTAAGTTCAACGTGTGACACGATTATTATCTGTACGAGAGAAATGAAAGGTATACAATCACATACACACGCATAGATATCACATAATTTTATCATACATACGTGCCGATACACATCATATTGTATATTTTATGTAAGGCTTTAAATGTTTCTTCAAATAACTATTATAATATATCTATATATTTGTATCTATCGTTTTCCCTATCCTGGTAATAATTTAGATCCGAAATTGCATCGGTGTCCTAAAATAATTTGTAATTAATGTCCGACAGACTTGGAGAAAAATTTCGAAAAAAAAAAAAAAAATATTATTTTAAAATCCAAGTATATAAAATCGAAGTATAATACATCAATTAATATAACAATGAATGAACGAAATTCATGTTCTCCATTATTATATTGTTAAAATCGAGGATAAATTATTTTATTTCCTTAGAAAATATACTGTAGTCAGAATTTTTAACAGTCATTGTTTTAAACCAGTCATGTTTATGAATGAAATAAAAATACAATGGGCGAAAAAAAAAAATATTGTTTGATTGGTAGTAGTAGTAGTTTATATTATTGATATAATAGTTTATAATCGAATAATTCAACAAATTGATGATATTGAAAGTCGGGCCTTAATTACAGACTTTTCTTCGGATCTACGCTTTTTAATCTTGTTTAAAGCCAACGTTTTTATTTTTGCTATTTGTTTGATATATTTCTAGAACGTTTACGATTCATTCTTGTCACACTGAAATTTAAAAAAAAAAAAAAAAAAAGAATTGAAACTCGTCGTTGACAATCTCGTTTCAATGCTTATTTAATTAAGAGATGTTGCTTTTGAAACTAGATTGAGTCGAATCACAGAGATCGATCGATTCACTTGTGATGAGGCTTGTAACACATTTAGCTCAGGAATGTGTACAACTCGAAGCAAACCCTCGTCTTACCGATAAAGTTTTTTTAAACGTTAAACACGAGATATTTTCTTTTCGATGTAATATCTATAAATTGGCTTAAATAACAACGTATACATTAAATTTTTTTTTTTTTTTTCCACTTCTAATTTATACAGTAATGCCTCGGAAAACGCAACTCGAAGAGAATCGGAAAGGCGGCCGTTTTCTTTTTTCCCCATCATTTAAATTCAGATTCTATTAAAATTTATCGAATCGAAAATGAATAGTTGTGTTTTCTAAGATACATTTATTAACCGTACTAAAAAAAAGAAAGTATATTATATTATTTGTTTAAATTGTAATTTATATTGTAATTTTAATTAAAGTGATTTTGTAAATTCAACAATAATTTAGCATTGTAATAAGATAAAAAGTAAAATTTTAAATTAGTAGATAAAAAAGTTTAGACAAAAAATTTAGATTAACAATTCGGTCATATTATTAACAATTTTAAGAACTTCTTGTTCTGCTTCTGGATTGATTTCGAAAATTGAGGTATAATTAAAGTATTTTGAGTTGCATTTTCTAGCACAGGCACTATTGTAAATATTGCAGTTGTTGATAGAATGGTATATACGCCATACAGCGACACATTTCTGCGCTCGTTGTTAGTTTACAATTTTTCAATTATGATTGATTCATCGAAAGATTCACCGAAAATAGGACCAAAAATGTCATTCCGTTGCCGTGAGGAAAATGCAATTTACGTATATACATTCTTGACGTTCTTTCGTTCAAAACGAGATTTAGATCGTGGAAGAACAGGACCTACAGTTTTGCAGCGTGATACACAATATAATTATGTGTAAAATTGTAAAATTCGTTTCGGGAGTTTATGGGCGAAAGGATATATATGCTTTCCTTCTCTTCCACGAAATGCGATCAATAATTCTTTTTTTTTTTTTTTTTTTTTTTGGTCCTACGATTTAGTTGGATGAAGGAAAACACAAATCATTTTCGCCCATTCTCCGAAAGCTCGATATATAGATTGTATTTTTGGCTTATTACTGTAAGACTGACTATGTTGCTATATTAAAGATTGCTTCGAAAATAATCATGCAGTTATCATCGACCGATCAATGTATCCTTTACATTTAAAATCCTTTATTAATTATTTATTTAATATTCAATAAATTTGAATTACGGACAAAGTATAGATGTGATATTTTTTTGCGATATAAGAACTTTTGAGATCGGATTTATAAGTCAGATATGACGTTTTATCGAACTTTATGTCACGTGCTCTGAAATATCGACCTCAAAAAAGAAAAATCATAGTGCTTTTTACGCCCTCTACAATTTGTTACGGCCAACATAACAAATTTTTACACAATGATTTATATTTATATATCAAGTTACTTTTACACGTTTTATTTTATTTTCTTAAAAATTTGTTTCAAGTATATAAACATTACACGATAATTTAAAAATTAATCGTTTATTTTTTTTTGTTATATTTTTTTAATTTAATCTTTTACAATATTTATTTCTTTTTTAACATTTTTATTTATGAAAATAACTTTTAATTCTATTTAATTTGATTATTAATTCGATCGTCTTTTATTTTTATTTAATATTAATAACTTTAATGCTATTTTTGTCCCGTGCAAATGTTACCAGGGCATCCAATGTTAATACATGTTTTATATCTTGGAGTAATAGCATGAATTTCTTCTTCAACTAACATTTCAAATCCTTTTCGTCTTATTCTATTGATATCAAATTTAATCTCTTCGATAGTTATTTCTGGAATTTTCGGCGGATAATTTGGAGAAATTACATTTGGAGGATATCCGTCTCTTTGCGATAATTCTTTACAAACTAATATCAAACTAGCTATATTTATTGGTCTTGGAGGAGTATCTAGTTCACTTTCTTCAAATATTTTTTCAGGCATGCAGAATTTTGCACCAGTTTCTGCTGCTCTCCTTTCCTCCTCATCTGGATACATTACTTTAGTGCACAAAAATTCGTTAAATGAACCAATATTTCTATATAATAATCTTTTTCCTACGATTGCGAAGGGATTGATTGTATGCGTTCCAAAACAAGTCAATCTCAAGAAAATATTTATGTAACCAGATGGCTTATATTCCTCGTCCATAAGAACAAAAATATTTTTTATTTCATATGATTTTGGTAAGTGATATATATCATTGCTTGCCATCATTGTGTGATCACATAAGCAATCTGGTATCGGAATTACTGAATGTCCTAATGGATACTTTTTTACTTCCTCGGGACAAATAACGATTTCTTTGATTTTATATACGTCTAATAGTATGGGTTTAGATCGCATTTGTGCTACAAGCTCGCCGGGGTTTCTAGTGAACAGATATGCTTTACCGGCATTAAAATTTATAGTAAAAGTTCCTGGTCCGCGAGTTATCTCTTTTGATCTATCTGACTTGGTTAATAAAAAATAACTTTGAAAAATTCGAAACAATGGCATATCGATAAATTGTAAATCAACACCTAACTCGTTAGGGAGAATTTTTTGCAATTTTTCGGCATAAATAGTAACCGAGTCAATAAAAATTTCTAGAATATATAATTTTTCGATTTTATCGGACTCACAAGCTTTGAGATTTGCATTCATCTTGACAAAAAATTGTTCTTGATATTTTTTATAAAAAAAGATAGAATCAAAAGTTAATCAAATGTAATTTTAAATTCACTTAAAATATAGTTGATAAAATTAACCTAAATAATTATATAGTTTCGATTAAAAAATTGCAAAAACAATTGAATTGAAAAATTTCTAATTTTCCATAACTTTCTGTATATTTTTATATATGTGTATTTAATTTTTATGATAATCATGATTGTACGATCATTAGAAGTATTAATAGTATAATCAATGATTAATAATTAATAAATATTTTACATCAGATTGATATTTTTTTATAACATTTATATATTTTTTTCAGTTATGATCCTTGATTTTAATCAATTTTTTTTATACATTTTAATACGAAAATTAATTCGTAATTTAATATGAAAAATACGAGATATTAAAATATTATATGCACGTATTCATATTTCAAAAATATTTCTAAAAGATATATTTAAATTTTTATGTATTTAATTTGAATTGAAATCTAATATATATAATTATTATAATTTTATTCAATATTATAGACAAATGTATTTATATATTTATTTATAATATTTATATCTAATTATTATAAAAAATCTATTTTAGATTATACAAAATAATGAAAAACTGAAAATTATATTATTCATTATATATTAAAATCTATATGTTATAAATTTAACTAAGAAACAAAACATCATGATAAAATAAGAACATAAATATAAAAAATACAAATAATAATATTATTTTTAATTATATAATATATATATCTCTAATAATATATATTTAAATTATTTCTAAGCTTCCAAGCAATTATTATAATTTTATGTTCAAAATTAAATAGATTATATATCATGTTTAAAAAAAAATTATCTAAAATACATGATTATCCTTTTCTCTATTCGTTCGTGACGGAGTAGAACTAAAGATATTCTTCATATTTTCTTTCCAATCAGATAGAGGAAATTCATCGTCAGTTATTAAAATTTGATCACCCCAACAAAGCTTTTGCTTAATTGGAGTAATATCATAACTATCAGTAACATTCGTTGTATTATTCATACTATAAGTTTGATAACCTGTGTCTTGCGCAGAGTTTGAAACACTTTGCTGATTAGAAGTAGCTAACATCGCATTTGTTTGCTGAAAGATACTGTCATTCGTATTCATTTTGCACGAATCGGTCACGTATTTAAGCGTATTGTCAGTATTTTGACATTTAAAATTGAATTCTGAAGTTTTATTATCGCAATTGTGCTCAACATTATAAATTGAATTCTTTGCTAAGATTTTTTTTTCTATGCGAGTATCACATGTAGAATTATTATGTACATTTAAAAACTCGACTTTTCTTCCTACATTTTTCTTATTAATGGATTTATCTAAAAAATAAATAATCATATTTAAAAAAATAATATTGTAAATTATTTTTTTAATGAATATATATTAATAATATGAAATAATTACCTAAAGAATGATCTAATAATTCTTTATGTTGATTATTAGGTTCATCTATGCTCATATTCATAGTAAAGTTTAATTGAGTAGTTGAATGAGATCTTACATTTTCGCCCGACATGTGAATTATTGCATTATGTATAGGAGATATGTTAGGAGGAGATAAATTTTCTGTATTAATTTGTGATATATCATAATGACAATCTTCGTTTGATGAATACTGAAAAAAAGAAATTTGAATATTCTCTGTATTTCAATATTTACATATTGATTAATAAAATAGATTAATAAAAATTAATTAAAATACATTTATATTTACTTTCAAAGGAGCACCATGAATTAACATTCCACTTTGTGGAGGACTGGAAGATAACACTAAAGATCCATTCATTTTTACTGGTGATACACAGATAGAAGATTCATCATTATCTACACAATCTTCATGATTGAAGAATAATTTTCGTCTTAAAGAATTATTACTTGAATTTGCATCATCACTTTCAATGTTTTGATTCTAAAAACAAAAAAAGAATTTAAAATTTAAAAGTAACAATATCTAATAACTTGAGTAATAATATCAGTTCTGTATTTACTTGAACGAATGTAAAATAAGGTTTTAAAATTTCCATGACATGAGATGGCAATTCAGGTGCAAATGTTAACATTGTTTGACTCCAACCTATAATAAAAATTAAAATAAACAAATTAGGAAATATAGAAAATATATTTCTTGATTATTTATTATAAATACCATCTTTTTTTGAGTTAGAAGAGTCCAAATTCAAATCAGGAGAAGACCTTACAGGGGTATTCACTTCAATTTTTGTCCTAATTTCTTTTCTCTTTGTTTCCCATGGACTTGGAATTATTTCATTTTCATTAAAAAATTGATCAATAGCTGCTTGAGCTTTTATTTCAGTCTCTGTGTCAATACAATGTATCTGTTGTATTGGAAACTCTTCTATTTTTGCTGGTTGTATTAAAGCTAGCTCATCTACACTCCATTCAAAGTTTGAAGATTGTTGAGATGGACTTGAACCTAGGAATATTATAATATTTACACACACACACACAATTACGATAATTAAAAAATAATATAAAAAGAATTTCATTATTTTCAAATCGTTATCATAAAATTTTAAATTTTGATAAATATTTTAAAAAAATTACCTTACTAAATACAGTTGGACTAATTACAGATAAATGTAATCTACTAGTTAAATCAGTCTCAAATGGATTCCTTGCCATAAACTTTGTTAAACCTGAGGGCGGTGTAATGTGATTTGGAAGAACACTAAAAGAATTAATATTACTTTGATATGTTGTACGCTTTGAATTTGTTTCACATTGTTTTACAGGAGTTTTATATATAACAGGGCTTTTAATTGTTAAATTTTCGTATTCGTTTCCATTTTTAATTGGCGTTGTCCATTTTAATTTTTCCATTGTAATGTATCTAAAATGATCCATAATATTCCACTTAAATTTTATTTTTTTATAATTATCTATATATATTAATATTTTATAATACACGAAGTAACATTTTTCATTCAAAATATATTTAAACAACTTACTTTTATTACTTTTATTATTATTATTATTGATCCTTTAACGTTTTCTTCAAGTTTGTTTTTTTAATTAATAACTATAAAAACATAAAAAGAGTATAAATACTTTACGGAATTTTTTTATCGAATCATAAAATTTATTTTATATATTACAAATTTATATTACAATAATTGTATTAATATAATTTATAATTTGGAAATTTGTTTACATGAAATATTTTTGAAACAACGAACGTAATCACGTGACATAGTCATAAACATATAATCTAGAAGATGATCGAAATATTTATAAATGTTGAGTATCAATTTTCAAATAAATGTTCCGTATCAATTAAGTTTTTTAACATTTTTATAACATTTTATATTTATTGCATTATTATATTTTATTTTTAAATATATAAAAATTGAATATTATAAATATACAAGTCAGACTTGTAAATTCGGTATTAGTATTTTACTTCGATCTAGTTATTAAAAATTACTAGTTGCTTGAAATTACTAGTTTTGACCAACATTTCTATGATTTTATAAAATATTTATTTAGTTAAATATTAGTAATTACTTATTTAATTTTTGTCTTTTCTTATATATGTATATTTCTTTATATATAAGATAAAAAACAGAGTAGATAAGATAAAAAACAAAAAAAGTCAGATTTCAAATTCTTATTTTTTATTAAATTTATTAAATAGTAATTTAGTAATAATAATATTCACTTACTATTACATTACATGCATATAATCTTCATTTTTTAAATTAAAATATTATAAATTATTAATGATATCATAATATTACTGATTACAAATTTATGATATCATTACAACTGCTACAATAATTGCTTTTATTTTTACATTTTAAAAAAATTAACAAATACGAGAAAAAATTGTTATTATCAATAAATAAATAAATAAAAAATAATATGATCAAGCTTGTAAGGAAAAGTTTATACTAAGAATTTTGTCTCAACATAAAATAATAAAAAAATAAATAAAAAAATAGAGTTAAAAAAAAGACAAAGAATAAGTTAATTTCTAAATAAAACATTAAATCTGTTTATGTAAATAAAAGTATTTATTTTTTAAATTCTATTAAATGGAATATATGCCTATAAAGATATATCGAAGAAACAGGATACCGATATTTACAATGTAGTATTTATAGATATCGCTTTTATAAAGGAACGAAAAAAAAATTTTCTTTCGCGATAAAAATTATTTGTTTGTTTTTTTAATTCAATAAGATTATAAACACATTTGTACGATCAATAAAATAAAAATATCTTTTAATATTTTATTTTTACAAATCTGTTTTAATTTAATAATTATTAAATTAAAACAATTATAAATTGTCATAATTGGTAGAAATATCAATTTCCGGTGGCAGCACAAACAATGCACGTAGTTGACAGTTTGGCTACATCATTTCAGTATAATTTATACATTTGGAACATTTGGAAAATATTTAATTGCATTCTCTTCGATTTACATCGAATTACATCGTTCTTAACATTAATTTTTTTTTTTAATTTTTTGTATGATTTTTTCCTATTTTTGTAATCATTTCGTTTTATATATTAATATTTTTCAGATGTTTAAATTATACTTCAAAACAAGATTAAATAACAAGAGGATAGGTGATGATTAGCACGTCTACCTCTTTTTTGTGTAGGTCTATTTTTTTTTTGGATACCGTCTATTCCTTATGTATTTACTTTAATATTAAATATATTACATACATTTATTATTAAATATAATTTTATCATTAACATTATGATTTAGATTTTTAATTTATTTAATCTACAAAAATACTATACAATTTTTAAGACATTTAGTTCCATTAAATTCTCCTGTATTCTTAATAAATTTCATAGTTATTATTGAATTAATTAGATTAATTATTCGACTATGAATTTTATCGACTATCAGCAAATTTAATTTCTGGACATTTAATTCTAACACACTATTACCAATTAATCTTTTAATTCAAAATATATTATTAATCTTAGAAATTTTCATATCAATTATTCAAAGATATGTATTCTCTATTCTTTTAATCCTTTTTTTTTCAGAATCAAATTAAATAATAATAAAAAAATAATAAAAAAATTTTCCATTTCATAAGTAACAAATAGTCCATAACCTATTATTTTATCATTTAGTTTATTTAATGTATTATCAAGAATCGCAATTTAAGTTTATCTATCAAATAACTTATTTATAACACTAAATTTAATTAATACAATAGGAATAAACAATTGAAATATTGCGATAATGTCTACCGCAATTTAAAATTTGCAAAGAATGGATGGGACCGTGGAGATAGGATGAGTCACCATTTGCAGCAACCTCCTCATGGTGTGACTTGGGAAATTTGTATTACTATATATGTAAATAAAACAAATCTGCTAATGGCTGCAAAAATGATTAAAATTTTGATTGATGATTAAAATATAAATGAAATAACAATAATATTAAGAATAAAACTTATTAATATAAGTATATTTTGTGTTTTTATTTTCAAATTATTTTCAAATCATTATCTCTTCATAATAATGTATGTATGCGCGCGCGTGTGTGTAATAAATAGCGTTTCTTTTTCTAATTCAAATGTCAATATAAATTTTAACATTATAAATGGTATGTAATAATTAAAAACATTTCAGATTATTGCTTATTGTTTTAAATTTCTATGGTCAAAGAACATAAAAACATTAAAGTTCGTACCTTAACAGTACAAAAAAAATGATATTTTGATGTAATATTTTTAGTATCTAAAAGAGTTTTTTAAGTTTTCATGCGTTAAATATTAAATATTAGTATATTTCTACAATAAACAAAACAAAATAAAGAAAAAGATAGAATAGAAACGATTATCATCTTAGAAATGTTTGAATTTTCTTAGAAATACAATTTTTGCAAATGAGATAGCTAAAACATCAGTGCCATTTTGCATTTAAATATCCGAAATTCTGATTTATTATTAACATAATAGATTATACAAGGAGATATTTGAAGTTACAAATAAGAAAAACAATATTATATAAGAAAGAGAGCTTTTTCTTCTACTGTGAGAATGTTATTTGTAAAATTCATTAATTATTCATTTTCTATTTTAAAATTTATGCACTTTTAAAGTTGCATTTTATAGATAGAACTTTAGAAAAATTTCTCGTATCAATTCTTTTTTTTATGTTTATTACGATTAACAATAATTTATAAAGCATTAAGACACTATATCAAAAATTAATTATTTGTTTGTGAAATTTTTTTTTCATTAATTATTTATTATTAAAATTGAAAAGAATATATAACACCAAAGTCGCTATATTAAAAATTAATCAAAATTTTTTTTTACATCTTGAAGAGACTTTTAGATAAGTTGTATCAAAAATGCAGAATTTTGATTGGAAAATAATTAATTTTGATTGAATAATTAATTAATTTTTTTATATAGTCTTCGATATATTAGAAATTATTATATGTTAATCAATAATAAATAATTAATTGGAAACAATTTCACATTAAAAATAATAACTTAAAAAACTTACTTGAAGTTTTATTTGCAAAATGCAAAAATTGACGAAAAACTGCTCACTATTCCTTTCTACAATATTATTATTTATAATATTATTGCTTTTTTATTCAAATACTTCCTTGCATATTCTATGCTAATAATGAGTCAGAGTTTTGAATATTCAAACGCGAGATGGCGCTGATTTGAGAATCTTTTGGCCGTTGTCTCATTTCGCTCAGCGTGGTATCATTATCGCATGTCGCATGTTAGTTTCACTACAATTCGCGTATCTAAGGTGAGTTGTTTTTATATTTAAAAGAAGTATGACAGCATATACTAAATGAATTATTTTAAGTAAAGCAGTAGAAATAATATAATTTGCATTCTATTTGTCTTACATTTTTTGTTATTAAATTAATGAATACAAGAATCATTTTCTTATAGGAATTGAAATGGCTTGTCATATTTTATGATTAAATATTTTGATATAATATATTTGATATAATATATTTGATATAATAATTTTACTTATAACAAAATTAATGTTTTCTTTTATATTGAGTGATTTGAGATACAATATAATGAAATTAATTAATTTTTGGAAAACAACACATTGAACTGTAAATTATAATTATATTATAATGTCATCAATAATTAAAAATTAATTAACTATAAAAAATTAACTATAATATTTAAACAATTTCAATTTTAATACTAGTAATATATATAAATGATTATTATCATTATTAATATTTAATATTTATAAACTCTTTGTAAGTTTCATATTACTATGTTATAAAACACAATTAGAATTAGTAGAAAATTTATTTTGTAAAAATTTAATAATATTTATTATTATAAAATATGATTTTATAAAATCATTTGAAATGTTTAAGGATGAAAAAAATTTATATTAAAAATATTATTTCTTATTTATTAGTTTTTTAATAAAATAATGTTTTAAAAAGTTATTTATTTATTATAATAAGGGTCTCATATTATTTGTATTTTTTTTTATTTTTTATTTTATTATTTTAAAGAACGGAGTAAAAATGGTAGCTGGTCCTACAGAGCATGGTATTCAAGCCGATGTAATATTTGTAATTGAAGGAACAGCTGTTAATGGAGCATATCTCAATGATTTAAAAACAAATTATCTTACTCCTACACTTGAGTAAGTTTCTATTTTTAAATTATATTAAACATTTTTGACTTTTTTTTTGTTTATTAATTTAAAATATTATATCATATAGGTATTTTAGTCAAGGTGGTATTGAAGATAGAGAATATGTTTCCGAGGTAAAATAATATTATCTTTTACTTTTTAATCTATTTTACTATTTTAGAGTATTTTTTATTTTAATATTTTTATAATATATATTTTTTTTATATTCTTTATCTAATAATAAAACATTTTTTAGCAAAATAGTACAACATTATATGGAATAGTAGTATATCATGCTGCTGATTGTTTGCCAGCACCATGTACAGAAACTTTTGGACCATATGCAAATCCTCATAAACTATTACTTGTTTTAGAAAAATTAGAGTAAGTAAAATTTTTAGAAAGCAGATTTTTTTTAATCTTTTTGATAAACATTAGTAATATTTTTATTCAAATAGAATGGTTGGAGGAAAAGGTGAATGTTTTGCAAATATTGGAGAAGGTCTTGCAACTGGGTTACAATGTTTTGAAGACTTACAATTACGACGTGAGCCAAATACAGCACCACAAAAACATTGTATTTTGATTTGCAATTCTCCTCCATATCAAACGGTCATACAAGAATCATATAAATTTGCTGGGCATACTATAGAACAATTGGCTACACTTTATCAAGAGGTATACTATAATTAATAATAATCATAAATTAAGTATAAATAAAAATCTCTTTTTTTTCAGAGAAACATTAATCTTTCAATATTATCGCCTCGAAAAATACCTGCACTATTTAAATTATTTGAAAAAGCTGGAGGAGATTTACAATCATCTCAAACTAAAAATTATGCTAAAGATCCGCGACATTTAGTTTTATTACGTAATTATAATTTAAAAGAAAGACCTGTTAGTCCTACGATTGGTGGAGCTGTTCATAATACATCAGGCACTGCTGCACAAATTCCATTAAGTCCGTTACAGAGTAACGATAGTCCAAATACAAATCAAGTTCAACAGAGTATTACACAACCAACTCAATCTCAAGGTCCTCCATTTAGAAATCCAACTCCTCAAAATATTAGTTCAGTTCATCAAACAGTAGTACCAATGGCAACTGCAATGAATGCTGGACGGCCTCCCTATAATCCTCAAATATCTGCTCCACCGACTTATCATCCTACAAATGTAACAGCAAGGCCAAGTCATCCTAGATGGAGACAGCACTTTGTACCACCAGGTACTACAGGTCCAACAAATACACAAAGTAGTGCTTTAATAGCACAATTGAATCAACCTCCCCCTTCAATTGGACTTAATGTAACTCCTTTTGGAAGAATGGATGGTAAGATTAATAATGTTTTATAATATTAATAATTATTTTTAATAAAAAAATTAATATGTTTATATATATTTTACATCTTCAGTGACTAATATCAATGTCATGGCTGCTAATGCGCAACAACAACAACAACAACAACAACAGCAACAACAACAATTAACTCAACAACAACAGTTAAGATTAACTCAACTACAACAATTGCAACAACAACAACAACAGCAGCAGCAGCAACAACAACAAAATGTCCAACAACAAGCTTCAATGTCAATAACAGCTCAACAAACCCATGGACAAGCTGGACAGCTGACGGTATCCTGTGTAAGTCAATCAGTGCCCACTCAAGTGCCACAAACAGTTACTGCTTCTCAAACACAGGCATCTGTATCTTCAGTAACTCAACAGCAGCAAGTAACTAATCCTCAAATTTATGTTATTTAAAATAAGAAATACAAAATATATTATGAGTTTAAAAAAATATAAATCACAATATTTATCATATATCGACCATATTAATATGATTCTTGAAGGGTACTGCTGGTACAGTAGGACCAGGACCACAAATTAGTACACCACGTGAGAGACATACTATATGGCAAGGTATTATTGAATGGGTTGAAAAAGCTAAAACAACTGCAGATGCACAAAAACAAACTAGACATCTTCCATGTCAAGTTTCCGCGAATTCTAAGGACGGAGATCCAGAATTGTAAGTTTTTATGAATGTTATATAATCGTGAACTATTATAAATTTAATATATTATAGGAAAGCTGATACATGGCCACAAAAATTAATTATGCAGTTAATGCCTAAACAATTGATAGGAAATATTGGTGGATCTTATTTAAAAAATTCTAAATCCGTTCTGTTTCATCCAACACCTTGTGAAGCATTGGAATCTTTGACAAAAGTCATGAATTCTGGATTTGTTAGTATATTGCATTATATATAATAATACAATAAAATGGACTTCTTTTTGTATTTATTTATAAAATAAAATATTTTAGGCGGGTTGTGTCCATTTTACTTTTTTGCAAGCAACAACAGCTTGCGACATAAAAATACTTATCCTTCTTTATACAGCAGAAAGAAGAACATATCTAGGATTCATTCCAAATGATCAGACAGGTTTTGTAGATCGCCTCCGTAAAGTGATTCAACAACAAAAAACGTCGCACGCTTCTATGAGACAAGGACAAGTAAATAAAAATTTATATTTCAACATAATTGTTATATTAAATATTTATATTCTCAAATATATTTAATTAATATCTACATTTAATAGGCTGGAGCTGCTCAAGGAAATGCAATAGCTGGTCCAATGCCTACTACAGGTACATCGCAAGGAGGTATTCTTATGTCTCAAACAAATACTATGGCTATGGGAGGAGGACAAATAACTCAGAATGTAGTCTCCACAAATGCTCCACAACAAACGCTAAGTTCATCTGCTGGTCCTCAAAACCAATTAAATATGCAGGTAAAAACTCGAATTATATGAAATAAAATCAATTTAAAATAATTACTTTTATATCAATCATATTTAAAGAGATATTTAACAATTAGAAATATTATCTATAAAATATACATAGATATGTAAATGATGAAAATAAAGAATTCGTTTTATTGATGCGGTGATAGAGTGGTGGTATTACTGGTCCCCAAGTGGCTCCAGCCTCTGGTACGATGATAGGACAACAAAGACCACCATTTGATGACATAGAAATAGCTAGGCATCAAAATTTATTAAAAATTCAACAACTACGGCAAACGTTAGAAGCTGCGCAGCAACAGGAGGCGCAATATAAATCACAACTGGAAATAAATGTAAGCCAATAAATATAACACCAAAATACGGAAGAAAAAGAAAACACATACTAAAATAAATTTCACAGAATTCATATAATATAATTAACTTTATAGATTCAACAGAATCTAGAAGTAGCACAGCAACAGGAAATGCAATATAAACAACAGTTGGAGGTGAACTGTTTTTTAGAAGTTATCATAAATTCTGTTGTATAACTTCGTGCAGAAGAAGAAACGAAACAAATAAAAAAAATTTGTTACAGGCTCAGCAAGCCCAAAGAGCGCTAAATCCTGCTGGTATGACGAATCAACAAGCAAATGCTCCAAGATTGATGAGGCCAGTTTCAAATATTGGTCTTAGACATTTATTACAACAAGTATGAATTATCATATAAATATTTGTAAATTACGTAATAATTATATTAGGATTGAATTATATCTTAAATGAAAAATGTTTTGAATTTTATAGCCACAACCGCCGTATAGGCAAGTAATTGGCTTACAGCAACAAATGGTTGGTCCTAGAGGTCAGATGACGACAAGACCTATGGCTCCTGGAAATCCACAAAATCAACAATTTGAAGATGTTCCTAATTATGACGTTTTTGGATAAATAATTTAAATAATTATTTTAAATGTTATATTGTAAATATTATATTAAAATGATTTTTAAGTAAAAAAAATTTTACAATATTTATGTATATCTAAATTAAAAACTTAAAACAAATATATTCATTTTTATAAAAAAAATAAGTTATTAAATAAATTAGAATAAATAAAATATTAAATTGTTTATTATTTCTAAATTTGTTCTATAAAAATTTGTTATAAAAATTTTCGTAAAAAATTATTAACAGATAAAAAAACACGTGGAGAAAGACGAGGTTATGCATCATTCAATTGATGCATTATACATGTGAAAAAACATTTGCATGAAGAAATATAAAAAGATAATAAAAATATATGTTGTACGTAGATAATATATTATATAATATATTAATAATAAATAATTTTATTTTCAATTATATTTTAGCAATAAAATATATTTTAGCAAATTTTTAACTATATAAACTTTAATTTTATATTGATATTTTGAAATATTAAAATTCTATATCTAAATCAAATTGTGTTCATATGTTCTTTTGTTTTTTTACGTGAAGTTTTTTTTTTTCAAAAATATTTCATTTTTGTTTATAATACAATAGTGTAATAACAATAATAAATTATGACGTAAAGTATAATGATAATTATAAATATTGTTTCGCAGTATTTAATTTTAAAAATATAAAACATAAATATGTTAAATAATTTGTTGTAACTTTATAGTAAATATTAAAATTTTTTAATTTGAAAATAGAATTAAATATTTAATCTTAATAGATAAAGAATATACTATTGAGTAAGATGTCTTTTTGACCTCAACTCATATTTTCTAATTGTTATCATGATACAAACACTTTATTTTGCAATTACTATATTGATAAATTAAGATAATTCAATATTTTACTTATTAGTTTCACTAGGGGGTCTTGAATGAATATAATTATTAATTTAAATCTTTTCAATCTATTATTATATTTATTTTTTAATTATTTGATTTTGTATTATATTTTTTATCATTTTTGTGCAGTTTATTATCCTGTGATATTTAATTTTTAAATTATGGATATTATAAGATTTTACAAAATACCTGGTCTCAAATCAGGCCAACTTAAAAGCAAATTTAATGATATTATTCAAATAACAAATCAAATTAATAGTCTAGAAACTGAATTTTGTTACTATGTTGAAATTAAGGAACATTTAACTGAAGAAGAACTAAAAGTATTAAAATGGATTTTAAGTCCACCTTTAGAATCACATAATTTAAAGAGTTTCAGTACATTTAATGAAAAATTAAACAATTGTCTTATTATTGAAATTGGTCCAAGGTAAGTTAAATTGATTAGTGATAGTTTAATTATTATTATTATACATTATTTAAAATAAAAATTGTTATATTATTACAGATTGAATTTTTCTACAGCATTCTCTAGCAATGCTGTATCAATTTGTAAATCTGTAAATTTAAACAAAATAACAAGAATTGAAGTAACAACTAGATATTATATTAAACATAATGGAATAATTGATAAGAAAATTGAAGATACTGTATGTAAAAAATCATAATTTTGCATTAATTTTATTTAATAATTTTTGAAAATAATGAATATTTTTTACATTTATTTTTTTAGATAGCAGATGTATTACATGATAAAATGACTGAATATAAATATATGAAACCAATAAAAACATTTGATCATGGATTTCGACCAGAAAATTGGTTTGAAGTTGATGTTTTAAAAGAAGGAAGAATAGCATTAGAAAAAGTAAATTCAAAATTAGGTATATTCAGAATAAAGTATAATACAAAATTGTTAGTATCCATATTAATATTATTCTTATATTATTTTTTAAACATTTTCTTTAGGTTTAGCATTTGATAATTGGGATTTAGATTTTTACACAGATTTATTTCTTAACAAATTGAAGCGCAATCCAACTAGTGTTGAATGTTTTGATTTAGCACAATCAAATAGTGAACATAGTCGACATTGGTTCTTTAAAGGTAGAATAATTATTGATGGTGAAGAAATGAAAGAATCTTTAATTGATATGATCATAAAAACACAAAAATACTCCAATACAAACAATACAATTAAATTTAGTGATAATAGTAGTGCAATTAAGGGATATCAAATAAAAGTTCTACGACCAAATAAGACTTACACATGCAGTCCTTTTCATTTAGAAAATGTAGATCAGGATTTGATATTCACAGCAGAGACTCACAATTTTCCAACAGGAGTTGCTCCATTTAGGTAAAAATTTAGAAATTTCTTAGAAACTATTTTAATATATTTATAAATATTGCAATTTATAGTGGGGCTGCAACTGGAACTGGAGGAAGATTGAGAGATATTCAAGGAATTGGTAGGGGAGGATATTACATTGCAGGAACAGTTGGTTATTCTATTGGTAATTTGCATATTCCAGGTTTGTATTTTTGTATAGTTCATTCAAACTATAAAATTATAAAACTTTTCTAATTTATAAAATTAGTGATATATGTTTTTGAGTAAAGTAATATATTCTATAATTTATGTATATATAATTATTAATTTTTTTTTAGAATACAATTTACCATGGGAAGAAGAAAACATACCATATCCCAGTAATATGGCTTCTCCATTAGAAATTTTAATTCAAGCTAGCAATGGAGCATCTGATTATGGCAATAAATTTGGAGAACCTATCATATGTGGCTTTACTCGTTCATTTGGTATGACAGATGAAATTGGTGTACGACGCGAATGGATTAAACCTATAATGTTTAGTGGAGGATTGGGTACAATGGATGCAAATATGTCTCAAAAAGTTTTACCACAAAAGGGTTAGTAGAAATTAATTGATTTTTATAAATGACAATATAAAATATTGAAATTTATTGTATATCAGGTATGGAAGTCATTAAAATTGGTGGTCCTGTTTATAGAATTGGTGTGGGAGGTGGTTCAGCTAGTTCAATTGAGGTAAATTTATATTGGTTAATATATCTTGTTAATAATTGATTAAAAATTAAGAATCATTAGGTACAAGGTGATAATAAAATGGAATTAGATTTCGGAGCTGTACAAAGAGGTGATCCTGAAATGGAACAAAAATTGAATAGAGTTATTCGTGCTTGCATTGAAATGGGAGAAAAGAATCCAATACTCAGTATACATGACCAAGGAGCTGGAGGCAATGGTATAGAATTTTTAAAAAATTATATTATAATTATATATAATAGTATTCATATATCAAATCATAATTGTTATTTAAAAATAACAGGCAATGTTTTAAAAGAATTAGTAGAACCCGCGGGTGCAGTGATCTTTGCGAAGAAATTTGAATTAGGTGATCCAAGCATCAGTATTTTAGAATTATGGGGCGCTGAATATCAAGAAAATGATGCTATACTTTGTAAATCAGAAAATAGTAACTTACTTAAAGAAATAGCAATGCGAGAAAAATGTCCTATTAATTTTGTAGGCATTATTACAGGAAATGGCAAAATTATTCTTTCAGAAGAAAATGATTGTGATTCTTCGAAATATCTAAATGAGAATTATGAGTACAAAATAAGACATCCAGTTGATTTAGATTTAGAACTAGTACTAGGAAAAATGCCCCAAAAGGTAAACATAAAATTTAACAAATTAAGTTTAATAATAATAATTAAGATTAATAATTAGATTAATAATTAAATAGTAATTTATAATAATGATAATTTATTAATATTTTTATAGACTTTTAAGCTTCTGAGACAAATAACCCAATTACCTACTATTAAAATACCAACAAATTTAACTGTACAAGCTGCTTTAGAAAGAGTTTTACGGTTGCCTTCGGTAGCAAGTAAACGGTATTTAACTAATAAAGTTGATCGTTGTGTTACTGGATTAATTGCACAACAACAGTGTGTTGGTCCTCTACATACTCCTCTTGCTAATGTTGCTGTAACAGCAATTTCTCATTTTTCTACTGTAAATAAAAAATAAATAAATAAAAGAAAATAGAATTAATTAAAATAAAGAAATAAAATAAATAAAATATTATAGGTTGGTATTGCAACTTCTATTGGAGAACAACCAATAAAAGGTCTTATAAATTCAGCTGCTGGAGCTCGCATGACTGTAGCAGAAGCATTGACCAATTTAGTTTTTGCACGTATTTCAAATATACAGGTATTAATTTATTATATAATTTAATTTTTACATATATTTTAAATATAAATAAATATATTAATTTATATTTATTAATAATAAATTATAAAATATTAAATTATTGTTAATAAATTTATATTTTATATATTTAGGATATTAAATGTAGTGGAAATTGGATGTGGGCTGCAAAATTGCCAGGAGAAGGTGCTGCTTTGTATGATGCATGTTCCGCTATGTGTTCAATTATGAATGAATTAGGAATCGCAGTTGATGGAGGAAAAGATTCTCTTAGTATGGCTGCGCGAATTGGAAAAGACATCGTTAAAGCACCGGGCACACTTGTAGTTTCTTGCTATGCTCCTTGCCCTAATATCCAACAAGTAAGATAAAAATATTTTTGAAACATTTCTACTTTGAAAATTTACTTTTACATTCAATTATTGAATATAATCTATTATTTTCTATTATATTTTTATTATAGGTAGTAACACCTGATTTAAAAGCTCCTGCAATTGGTAAAAATGGTTATATATTATTTGTAGATTTATCAAATGGAAAAAATCGAATTGGTGGTACCGCTTTGGCTCAAGTTTATAAATCTCTTGGAAATGAAGTTCCGGATATAGAACGAGTTGATATATTAAAAAATGCTTTTAAAGCTATTCAACTTTTAATTGCAGGTAATTAATAATTAATAAAAGATATAATTTAAAGAAAATTAATAATATTTGAAATCTTTTTTGTTACATTAGAGGAAAAAATATTGGCAGGACATGACATTAGCGATGGTGGACTTATTACTTGTCTTCTTGAAATGTGTTTTGCTGGTATATCTGGAATAAATGTGAATATTTTACACAAAACAGGATCTCCCATTGAAATTTTATTTACTGAAGAAATAGGATGGATATTAGAAATTGATCAAATAAATCATAATTACATTTTGAATGTATTCAAACAATTCAATGTTCCTGTATATCTAATTGGGCGATCAGAAGGATTTGGATTATCATCAAAAGTATGTATTATATATATAAATTATTTATATTAAATTTTATTATATTTTATTCTTAGATAAAAATTCAAGTACAAGAAAAACTTGTTGTGGATTCAACAGTGTTATCATTGATGACTTTATGGGAAGAAACTAGTTATCAATTAGAACGTCGACAAACTAATATTGAATGTGCATTTGAAGAATTCAATGGAATAAAAGATAGAACTGCACCAACTTATAAATTATCATTTAATCCTGATATTAGACCTATTGCAATTTACAAAAATTTATCTTGTTAGTAAAAATTTAATAATGCAAAAATATCTTATTTAAATGCATGTACATATTTTATCATTTTTACAGCAAAGATTGCAGTTGTTGTCTTAAGAGAAGAAGGTATAAATGGTGATAGAGAAATGGCAGCATCTTTGATGGAAGCTGGTTTTGAAGTCTGGGATGTAACAATGCAAGACTTTTTACAAAATAAAATCACATTTGATAGATTTAGAGGTGTTATATTCCCTGGTGGTTTTAGTTATGCAGGTAAATTAATAAATAGATAAATTATTATTTTACAAAATACAAAAAAATTAAAAATTAAATAAAATAATTTCAGATGTTTTGGGTTCTGCTAAAGGATGGGCTGCCAGTCTTTTATTTAATCCATCTCTTCAAAAACAATTAAAAGCATTTATTTCTCGAAAAGATATATTTAGTTTAGGAGTTTGTAATGGATGTCAATTGATGTCTTTGTTAGGATGGATAGGAACGAAAACAGTACTATTTAATTATAAAAAAATGTTTATAAATTATTATAATTAGTATTTTCAATTATTTTTTGTATTTCAGACAATACTAAAGAATTAGATATCTTTCTAAATCATAATATATCAGAAAGATTTGAATGTCGATGGAGTACTATCAAAATTGATAAATCACCATCAATCATGTTAAATGGAATGGAAAATAGTATTTTAGGTGTATGGGTTGCTCATGGTGAAGGAAGGTTTACATTCAGAAATGATGAAGTTTTACAAAAACTAAAAAAAAATCATTGCTTGGCTATTAGGTATACTGATGATTTTGGTAATCCAACTGAAAAATATCCATTTAATCCTAATGGAAGTATAGGTAATATTTCTTATGAACTAATATAAAAATAAATAAATTACACGATTATTTCTATTATCCTTATTGTTAATTATAATTTAATTAAGTTAATTAATAATTTAAAAAGATTTAAAAAGATTTAAAAAAAAATAATATATTTTTATATCGATCACAAATTATCAAAAATATCTTATATTTTTTTTTATAAGATTTTTTTAATATATTTTAATATATAACTGGGTTTTTCCTATTTTTTACTTAAAATTGAGACAAAGAAAAAATTTTAATTGTAGATAAATAATTGAAATATAAACAATAAAAATAATATAGATGGTTATATAATTCATATTATAAAATATACAATTTTTATGATTCATTATAGAAGGTATTGCTGGTATTTGCTCAATGGATGGAAGACATTTAGCATTGATGCCACACCCTGAACGGTGTTCACAAATATGGCAATGGCCTTGGAAACCTTATAATTGGAAATATACTATTTCGCCATGGCAACGTATTTTTGATAATGCTTATGCATGGTGTATGACAAAAAACTGATTCTATGATTTTTTATATTTTTCATTATTGCAATTGATATGTAAATGTAAATACAATCATATATTTTTTAATAACTATATAACATTATTTAACAAATCTTAATGTTTACAGATTATAAAATTCTTTATTTCCTATTCTCTTAATAAAGTATGGTAACATTTTTTTTGTCAAATATTACAAAAAAGAATTAAATTACAGTTAAAATTGGTTAATAAAAATTAATTTGTATTACTTAAATGAGTTCTGTCTCACTTTAAATAGTTGATTCGATGGTGTATATTGCGAAAATTCATTTGTATTAAAAATATCCTCTAAATGTAAATTGCAGCGTAATATTACAACTCCGGAAGGATTAACTTTAACTTTTATTTTTGTTTGCGGTGTTAAAACACCGTAATTTACATCTTCATATAGATCCTAAAAACATAATTATTTGTTGAAAGTAATCTAAAAAAAAATATATTAAATATATAATTACCTCAACATTATATCCTCCAGGATACTGTAATCCAAGTTCTTTTAATGTAACAGATACATCAGAAGGCGTACCATCTGTTCTTCTGTTCATAAACGCTACAGCGTAAGAAAAATAATTCTGATAAACAGGAGTAATTGGTCTCGCCCAAATTTCAATACCTTTGTGCTGAAATTATGACTAGATTTAAATATATTTGATAGTGTCTTGTATTAAAAAAAATGAATTTACTAACTTTATAAATTCGTCGACCTTGTATACCTAATGGATCTTGATCTACAGCAATAATTTTTCTATTTTGTAAAATAGCTTTGTACTCTGGCCTGATTGTTCTTAGATCAACAGACATTAATAATGGTGCAGCTAAAATTGCCCATAATGCCATTTGTGTTTTGCTTTGTTCATAGCTTAATCCGAAATTTCCAATAATCAACATATCAGGATCATTCCAATGGCCAGGACCAGCATTTGGTACAATCACATCTTGATTGTTTCCATAATAATCAATAATGGTTTCTAAACTATTCCACGAATCTTGTATATCATCAAAATTTCTCCACAAATTACAATGTTCTGTTATAGCAGTGTAATTTGGCTAAAATTTTATAAAATTTAGAATTACACAATATGTAATGATGTAATGATGTATGATGTTATATCAATACCAACCTGCATGCCAGCATAAATTTGATAAACTGGCCAACTACAAGAATATACCATTGCTCGACCAGTTTGATTTAAGTAGAATCCAAATTCAGGATATCCTAAAATTTGTTATAAACTATAAAGATTGAAGAGCACATTGAAGCATATAATTATTAATTAAATTATTTTAATTATACCTCTATCCATCTCTGAAGGATGGGAATAACATCCATCTAATTTTACATAATCAACATCCCATGATGCAAAAGTATGTGCATCAGTTTCTAAATATCCTAATATTCCAGGATAACCAGCACATGTATAGTTACCAAAATCCTCATAAATTCCAAATTTAAGACCTTTTGAATGAATCTACATAGTGGAAATATATAAAAATAAATTTATAACTTTTGTGATAAGTTGAATTATATATCAAAACCTACATAATTAGCAAGACTTTTCATGCCATATGGAAATCTTTGTCTATCTGGTACTAATTGACCATTAACACTTCTATCTTTTTCCAGCCAACAATCATCAATATTGATATATTCATATCCAACTGCAGCATAGCCTTCTGCTACAACAATGTCTGCCATTGTACGAAAGAGTCGATCACTATAAAATATGAAGATATATTTATTATAATTTTAAAATCTTTTCTTCTTAGATTATGATCTATAAATTATTTATCTTCTAAAATATATATTATTCATTATATTATTATTAATGAAACCTTGAACTCGAAAATAAATTTACATAATAACTATGACACAACTCTTAATAAACTTATTAAAAATCTTATGATTTTATATTGATGATTTAATATAAAAATGATTGTATAAAATTATTATATATGATAATTTTTTTCTAATTAATATTTTATAAAAAAAATTGTTATTTTTAATTCCATAATTATGAAAAGTGAAAATATATTTTAATTTTAATATTTATATATTAATATTATTAAATTATTAATTAATATTATTAAAATTATAACAGAATTATTTATTTTTTATTATTTTTATTTAATATTTATTTTTTTCTAAATATTTTATTACTATGAGTGACTATAAATGATTAAGTTTAATAATTTTTATGTATAATAATGAATAAAAATATAAGTGATATTAATAAATAAAATAAATAATAATAAAATAATAAAATAAATAAATAATAAAATAAATAAATAAAATAAATAATAATAAAAAAAACTTATATAGATTTAAGAAAACAATTTTTAATATATATGTAATCATTCTGAATAAATAATTTAAAAATAAAAATTAAAATTAAATTAAGAATTAATTATTAATTTTTATTATTAAATAATAATTACTTATATAAAAATTTATAATAATATTAAAATAAATATAATTAATAATTTTAAATATAATCACTAATTTAAAATTCTATGGTATTTCAAGTATGAAAGCATTTTATTATATTTATATAAATAATAATATTTACAAAATTTTTAATATATTTTGGAAACATATTAAATAATATGAAAATGAATATATCAATAAATCATATATTCGTTTTTAATTTCTTATTTTAGTTTTTAAAAAAAATGAGAAAATTTTTTAAATTTTTTCTATTTATAGTTTAATAAAATTTTTTAGAATATTTTTATAATGAAAAATTTTTTTTATAATGAAAATATTATATATTTTGTTTCATTATCATTGAAAATTAAAATTTTTGATATTTATTAAAAAAATATATAAATAATTAAAAAAAATATTAATAAGATTTTATTAAAAATTATAATATACTTATAATATACTAAATTATTTAAATAAAGAACAAACAATGTTTTAATCTTGAATACAAATTCTATTATTCAAATTCTTCTAGATAGAATATATCTAAACTTAATGTCAAAATACATAAAAAGAATTCAAAGAATAATCGTTTACCTGATACAATTTTCAGGATCATTTTTGCAGTCTGTATTACACCTGAATCGTTCCCAGGCAAGCCAGCCCATCGGTGGTGTTTTCACGAGACCATTTTCAAGGGCCAATGTCAAATCAGCCACTGACACAATTAAACACCATATCCATATTATCTGCAACATTCTGCAAAAACACGCTTCTTTCTAACTTTAAACTTTTCACTAATTTTTAACCAAACATTAATTATTTTTAATTTTATGATTTTAATAGCATAATTTATAAAAATCTGAATAAATTAACAAAAAAAAAACAAATTCCGTCAGAATTAGTAAGAAATCTGGTCATTAGGAGCAACGCAGAACTTCTATCCACATCCTGCACGGCTGTTGGCAGACTGTGACTGATCTGATATAAGACCTCCAACCCAAGAGTACTTTCACCCAATGCCCCATTTCATTTTTACACACCAATCACTGTCGTTTAATAGTGTGGACACATTGATTTCCTTTTGTATATACAGCGAGTAACTTCACACACTAACATATAGATTGGTGTGTGACTGTTATAATACAATTATTACATCTAAAGTATTTATTTTATCCTGTGAATTTGCTTTGTCTTTGATTATTTTGAATGATGATTATTAAATGCTCTTTATGGCATAATATAATATAAATAATAATTTAAATATAATGTAATATAAATAATAATTTAAATATAATATAATATAAATAATAAATATAATAAATAATATAAATATTAATAATAAAATAAATATAAAACGTAATCTAAATTTTCTTATTTAAATTTTCTCCAATTTAAAAATATTTTTTATTTATGTTTAATTTTTCATTATTGTTATATTACATCTCAATGAATCATTTCATAAAATATTTTAATTGAAAAAATTTAAAAAGTTTAAAAAAAAAAGCAGTTTAATCAGTGATTAAATAAATCAATGATTATTAGGTTAATTTTAAACTTTTTAAGAATAGAAATATTTGTTATATGATTAGAAGACAATAATTTAATATTTTAAATCAATAAATTTGAAATTTCAATGACTTAAGATAAATAATGAAAAATTTATCATATGAAAATACGAAATAAACAAACGAAATATTATATAGATTTAAAGATTATTAATAAGAACGAAAAAAATTAAAAAAAAAAAATTATAAAAAATATAGTAAAAAATATATAAAAAACTTTTTAATTTATATTTGTTGAAAAATAGGTTGAATAATTTTTGACTTATTATTTATTTTTTGAATTATTATAAAAGTTCTATTATTTTTTATTTTTTTTTCTGAAATGTAAAAAAATATTTAAAATGTTGATTTAATAATAAATTTTTTGACTTTTATCAATTTCTCAGAAAAATTAAATGGATAAATAATTGATTTTATATTAATATAAACAAGGCATTTTGATTACTTAATTGAAAATAAAATTGAAAATGAATTCTAATATTTCTTTATCGACTGACGATATTATATTAATATTAGTCTAAGAATAGATTTTTAACAAAATTCTATTATTATACATGTGCCTTAAATAATATGATAGTTTTAAAAAATTTTTATAATCATAATAATTCAACAAGAAAGAAAATTGATTAAATAATATTACTCAGGTATAAATAATTCGATGTCAAATTTTTTTAAATAATTAATTTTGTAAATAAATTAAAAAATATTTCGAAAGAAAGATAATGATATCTATGTACATATACTATACAACTTATATATATAGATATTTTTGAAATTTTCAGATTTTCATTTGATAATAATAATATAATTTAAGTAAGTGATATTTTATTATACAAATATTATAATATTTATTTCATTTGATTCAATAAATTAATAAAATTTTTTATATTTTTTTTATTATTTTAAAATTTGTAACAAATAATGGTTAAGTAATAAATAATGATAGCGTGAATAATAAATAATATTATTCAACTTAATTTAACAAAAAGTTAATTATGGGTTTTAACACTTTTCAATGAATACTTACCTTTTTCAGTAAATTTATGTTTCTGACACAAAACATGTTTCAATACGTCGTGTATCGTTTATATACTGAGAAATTTGTATACACAAGACAAATGAATGATAGTTGTTTCAATATCGCGCAATAGATAACAAATTTTTCCATTTTTCTATTCAATTGTTTGTGATAAGAATAATGTAAATACTATTAAAATTTTTTATTTCATTCACATTGTAAATATAAGATTATATGATGAAAATAATTTCAATTAATTTTATGAATTATTTTTCTAAATATAAATTAAATATATTCTAATAAGTTTCAAATAGAGATTTTCTAAAAATATTTGAAATATTGTGGTTGTTTTTATTTTTTATTATAATAGATCTATATTGTTGATGTGATAAAATATTAATTAATAAGATCAAATGGATATGATTTAATGTAATTTTATAGCAATTTATGTATTGTATAATTTTTCTTTACTCCATATTTGATATACTATTAATATACTATTTGATATACTATTTGATACTTCATACTTTTTTATATTATTTGATACATAATATATATAATAGTAATCAGGCATTAATAATATAATAATTTATTCTTATAAATATAAGAAATTAAATCAAAAAATGTGAATTAGAATAGAATAAAATAAATTTTATTTTTTTACAACTATATTTTTCAAATTATTCGATTGCGCGAGGGTGAATCGAGGGTGGCGCCACGATGCGTCACACCATCAAATCATTTGTTTTCTATCTTCGTTTTGCTAGCGATGTACCTCTCTTCGTTTAACCTCTTCTTCGTTCTCGTTCAGTCGTTCTAAACCCTCAACAATCCCGCAGCCACCGTTTAACGCGGGGCTGCTGGAGGGATAGTTGCTTTTACCGTGCAAGAGTAAACGTGTTTACCATTTGGTCGCGCAAATTTTCTTTATACCGCATGACGAATGTCGATTTATTATTTATCAATGATTCTTCGGTTAATCTTGTCGTGCGATATGTCATGTGAGTAACGTTCATCGTGCATTTTTGACGTGTTATGGCGTGGAAATGGTGGTCAACCGTTTCAGTGACATCGCTCTCGTTCGACGACACCGGGATATATTGCTGAATTGACGACTGATTGTGTTGAATTTTCGTAGAAGCATGAAGATACCACCCCTGTCATGACCAAGGTAGGCGAATATCTTGATTTTTCACCTTTCGTTCTGTATTATTATCTGTCAGTGTTTTATAATGGATATTGTGTTTCGTAAGCACGTTTTTTTTTTCATTTCGATATATTTTCATAATACAATTCTTTTCATTTTGATATATTTTAATAATAGGAAAAATAATAGATAGATTAATTAACAAATATCATGTTGACAAATTTAAAGAGAATATTTTAAAAGAAATTTTAAAACAATCTTTAAATTGATTATATTTCTTGTTTTAAAGAAAGATTTCATGATTATTAGGTAAATTGTTATAGAGTGCATCTGCAATCTGTTGGTGCATCAAGGCATCTCAAAATTTTTCTCAGGATCAGTGATTCGGAATGATGCATTTCTTGCATCTTTTTTATTGGATTCGGACAATAGTTAAGATTTTGAGATTGTGTTCTATTGCGGAAAAGATTGGGTGTCCTTTTGAATGATATATTTTGATGCCATTGACGCGCAAAGGACTCGGACAAATCGTATGAATGGGTAATGGCGGCATCCCGAGACAATAATTTTAGATAGTGATATACATATAGCGCTGCAATCGTTCCATTGATCTGTGTTACATCGAATACATTTTCTGATTTAAATTTAATAAACTTTTTAAAAATTGTATTTTATAACCTATATATCTAATGTTTGATTATATTTAATTTAAATAATATTTCTTAAATATTTTTTATAAGTTTAAATTTATTTTGATGATATGATAATGAAATATGATATGCTAATAAAATTAATGATTACTATCTGCTCTTTATCAATTTGTCAAATGCAAAAAATTGGTTTAATATGGTTATTGATATCATTAAAGATTTATCATTAAGATTTATGATATCATTAATTGTAAAATAAATTTAAGGACTCGTTTTAAAAATAAGAATATCCGTACGTGTAAAAAAAGGCTAATTTAAAATTTTTTTTAATACTTATAAAAAAAATTTTTTTTAATATTAGCAATCACTTAAATATCTAATGTACATCAAAAGATTCATTGTAAAAACTCTTGCAATATAATTTACAATTAATTTTTTTCATTATTATTCAATTCAATTATGCATTTTTCTCAGATGATCGTATTTATGAAATTTTAACTAAAAATTTGTATATAAGTGATTCAGGAAGGATCATGGAGGAAATTGTAGCTGGTAAACAGCCAAAAAGTGGTATTATGTGCGATGACATTTTTCGTTCGTAGTCCATTTTGGCTCACTATTTACCATATTTTATCTAGGGCGGCACGGGTAAATCGATACGCGCTACTTTCATTCATGGCTGCTTCCCCTCACACGGCTAGCACGTTGCCTCTATGTACCACCACTGACAAGCAACCACCACAACCACCCCTTATCCCCACCATTACCGACACTACTACTATTTCGTCCATTAGTAGCATGGCTATCTCTGTTGCAGTGATTCTCAAATCTCTGTTATCTGCGTGCTTGGTAATATTAACGATCATTACCATGAGATATTGAATAATTTTTTAATAAATCTTGAATAATATGCTTTTTATTATTTACGTTTGATATATAGATATATAATAAATATTTTATTAATCTGTTAATCTAAATATACGTAATATTTTCTGATAATTTTTAAAGTTAATTTTTTTGATATATTTTAAGATTACATGTTTAAAAATTATAAAAAATCCAGAGAATAAAAAATATATAGAATATCGAGCAATTTTATATTTTTTAACCATTCCTTTTTTTTTTTTTTTTTAAGAAACATTTCTTTATCAATTTAAATTATTCACGAGCTTTTATCCAAAGAGAAAACGGAATTAAACGGATGAACAAAGAGACTGAAATTATAGATTAAATTAACAGATTCTATTTGCATATTAGGTTAAAATGGATTTCTTTCTTCTCCTCTCTTCGTGTTCAATATTGTATCGCATAAATAAAAAGAAATATCTTTTCTTCTTTTTATATTTATTTTTCTTTTCCATCTATCGTTCATTTAAACAATAATATCAATGTGCGATGTACAATATACATACATACAGATAACTTAATAGCTAGCTTAAGTGGCTTTCAATTGAATCGTAGCACAAAGATATGCATAACACACTTATGAATAGAATTTAATAATAAAACATATAAAATACGCGTGTTACTTAATTGTAATTAAAATTTGTAAATATGATATTAGATATTATAATTATGAATGTATGATAATTTTTATTATTGCATCATTGGAAATTTTTTTCGTATGTGCAATAATAGAAATAAGAAAACAATACATCTAGTCTTAAAGGAATAAAAATACAAGTTGAGAATCAATGTTTTGCTAGGGCATTGGTGTTACTACCACATTCACCACATTCGGATCCATC